CCTTCTAAATATTTATGTTTATACTCATAGATCTGTGTTACAACCTTTGTCAGAAGATTCTTTTTGCAGCGGGCAGCAGTTAATGCAGAGACTTGTAACTGGTTAAAGTGCTAAGAATAAGTGATTGTGAGTGCTCATCTCTAAGTAAGACATCTATACCACCCTGCCTCCACCCCACCACCTCCAAGGCTCAGGGAGCATCACAGGAAGAAGAGATGGAAGAATCTAAGAGCCGGAGTACGGGGAAGGAGTGCTGTGAAATACTTTCTCTTGGACATGACATAGCTATTGCACTATGAACTCAACAGCAGTTGCTGCTTGCACAAGATCAAGCTGGTCAAAATTTCAGCATGGGATTGGAGAGATGGCTCAGGAGTTAAGTGCCTTGGTTGATTGTGTAGATGACCCTGGTTTGGTTCCCAGCACGTACATGATAGCTAATAACCATCTACAACTCCAGTTCCAGAGTATCTTCTGCCCCCTTCTGGCCTCAGTGGGCATGACACAGGTGCACTTACATACATGCAGGTCAAACACAAATACAAATAAATAATAAATAAATCTTTTTTAAATTCTAGCATGGGTGGGTGAGGGAATCAATGAGTGCCCCCCCTACCAGCAGCTGAAAAATTGTTGTCATTTGATGGCTGCTGGGGGAGGAGGTGTCATTTATATTTAAAAGTGTGACTGCTGATACATTATCAACGCTGCAGTGGATGGCCCCACACCCATGTGCATATGGGCAGTACTAACTGGAATGAACTGGTTAAAAACAAATAGGCAGACATGGGGGAGTGTTGGGGGACTCTGAAGAGAGTAGTAGAGAGGAATAGGAGTAGATTTTATCAAAATTGTATACATGCATGAAATTCTCAAAGAATAAATAAAAATATTAGTTAACAGCTCAAAAGAAACTATCTCCTATCTGGCATTGTTTCTTGTTATGTAGCCTTTAGCTATACATACAGACTCTTAAAAATTATATTGGCCCCTTTAATCTTTGGTTATACTTTCCTTTTGGGTGTTTAAGGCCATACTCTTGGCCCAGATAAACCAATTTATTTTTACTCTTAAGGCCATTTGAGGATCTGTTCCTCAGGGGTCACATGGGCTTGGGAGGAGCCCCTGGCTCCTTTCTTTTACCAATTCCACCTATGTGAAGATAAGTCAAAGGTCCTACTGGACCACGGCTGGCTTCGCTTAAAAGCATGGAGGAAATGTTTCCTCTATGTTGACCCTCCTGTAGACTGGACACTGGTTCAAGTCCATCTCGTGGGGTCTCCATGGCCTCCTTGATCAAGAAGACAGGTGACCCACCACAATTACACAATTGAGTTGTTGGCCAGGGTGGCCCAAGGGACTCCCAGATAGTAACCCAGCGTAGAACTGGAAAAATGAACAGCAGACCCCAATCTTATCTAAAGGAATATTGACAACTGATTGCTGCTAGATGAGGAACAACTGACCTTCCTAAAACAAAGACCTCTAGATAGGCTGACTAGATTCACTGGATGGACAAGTAGTGGGTAACAGCTGGGGGTGCTGACAACACAGCAGACAGTAGCAGGGATGACAGAGTATAAGGGCTCTAGTAGGGGGTGGGGGGGACTATGGGAGGGTGCCATCTGGGAAGTGGGGGTTTAGGTGAATAAGATGGTTTGGGATGTTCTGTGTGATATACACACAAAAAAATCAACAAATTTGAAAAAAGAGTTATATTTGAGGAGGAAAAAAAAATATTACTTAAAACATGATGTTAAAGAAATCATACTCCAGGGTAACATATAGATGATTTCTGAGGTGTTTAGAATGCCACTGTAAACTACATAAGTCATTGTGGGCAGTGTTTTCAGTAGGGAAAGAAAGCAGGAGATGGGCTTAGAAGGACTCTGCACTGCATTGTCAATCTTGTTATTTTTTTTCATCTTTTGAATCTTTCATGCTCTTTTTTTATTTTATTTTATTTTATTTATTTTATTTTTTGGTCTTTTTGAGACAGGATCTCCCTGTAGCCCCAGCTGGCCTCGAACTCACTATGTAGACCAGGCTGGCCTCGAACTCACAGAGATCTGCCTGCCTCTTCCTCCTGAGTGCTGGGGTTAAAGGCATGCGCCACCATGCCCAGCGAATCAATGAAAATTAAATTCTAATTTTAGAAAGAAAAAAACTAAGAAATGCCAAAAGTTTGATAGATAGATTTTACTTTCTAAACTCTTAGCACCTTAACAAATAGCATTTTAAAATAATTAAACAAGCAGACATGTATGTTTGCAACTCAAATGCCAAATGTTGGCTTAATATCCTTAATGGGAAAAAAAATTTTGCTCCAAAGGAGGATCAGAAAGAAAATGAAGTCAGCTAAGGAAAAATAGACTTAAGACCCATTGCCCAATCCCCAATGGCGGAAAAACACATGGCCAAAAACAAATGAAGACAGGCAACCTCACTTTGGGTCAAAGAAATGCCTATGTAAAACAGTAATGAGATACTGTTTTTCACTCATCAAATTAGCAAAAAATTAAAAATCATCAGATCTTATAAAGGCACAATAAAGAGATCATGCTTTCACTCAGCTGATGGGATAAGTTGGTAAGATCTTTCTAGATGCGAGTTTGGCAGTATGTACTAGGAGTCTCAAAATGATTCCTGTCCTTTGTCTCAGAATAGTACATGATGGAGAAATCTAGATTTCCAATAATCCACATGGTAGACAGATATTCATATGCAAACTGTTTACTAGCCTGTTGTAGCAGTAA